CGAGGTAGCCTTGCTGGTGTCCGCATGGCCCGGAGTCTCCCTTATCTCTGTCTTTCGTTTGATTTCCTTTGTATCGGATCAGACAGTACTGTATTCTTATTCAGACTTTGTATTTAGCATTCAGTAGAAGTTTGTGAGTTAGTGACACCAGATCTGGGTAGAGGTGTATTTGAATTTCTGCACTTGGTTTCCGTTATTTATATTTTTGGGACTTCCGCTTTTATATTAATTGCCTCGTTCTTCTTTATACTGTTAATGATGTTGAGAGAAATGTTAAATTAATTGGCTTGCCTAGCTCCTATTAGTAGGCGCCATCACGACTCCCGAGGGTGGGAAATCCGGGTCGTGACACAAAGAACTTATTCAGTTTTCAAAGTATACGCGAAAGCGGTTGATTATATTGAGACTATAAATAAAGGAAAGATTTAATATCTTCTATTACTACAACTTGTAGCGGGGTAATATGTATGTGAAAAGCTACCCGCTTTATTCTCCAATTTGTACTACATAAACAAAAGAATACCACAATGAAGTGGATATTTATTGATACAAAAACCCATATCATAATAAACTTGGAGTGTATTCATAATTTCACACATCACGGTGTAAACCTGAAGTTTATCAATATTGATAATTTATCCAGTTGGCATAATTGATTTAGCCATGTTAATTCAAGTATGATGTGCAAAAATAAAAGAGAATTCACATGGAAAAATATTAAAGAACTAGAAAGTTCTTTACGAATTCTCTTACATTGCTTGTTCTCATTAATTAATAGACCAATTAAAATTGGGATTGAATCCCATGAATGCTGGAAATATCAAAGGTGAATATGGGCCAATTCACCTGCCATGTATACCACATAAGATGCATCTATGAGATGGTTACATGTGCAATTATTATTGACCCGCAACCTGGTGTTTGCGAGGTAATTACTTGCTCAATAATTTAATATAGAGCATAATTTCCAGATTTTTTATTCAAGATAGTTCTTCTTGATAAGTTGGTTTACATCACAGTTGGTTTAGCAAAATAATTTATTGAGTGTCTCCACTTAATAGCTAAACTATTTCTTATGAGAACAAAGTTATAAATATTAGTTTGATATACGTTATATACGAAAGTATATTCTTTTCTCCCCTCACAAGTGGTTCAGGGCCAGGAACTAAATAATTTCATCTTATTATTATTGATGTGTGGTGTATATTTTGATTAACACCATAACGCACAAAGGTGGTTTCCCAAAGTTGAGGGAACATGTTAGTTTTTCTAACATGAGGGGGAGACATGATAAACATTTGAGAAAAAGTTACATGGAATAAATTATTATTTATACACCTAGATCCTCGAATAAGATAATTTGAACTTGAAGTTCATAAAAGGTTAATTCATTTGCAATATATTGCAAAGCATGCCAGACGCATTTGCTGACCCAAAGAAAGTAACTATATTCTCATTGCAAATGCTCCTATTAAGTCCTAGAAGGACAAAGTCTATGGTACGCTTACAACGTATAGACAAATCGGTTTCAAATAAACTTCTTGATAGAGAAGATGAGCAAATGATCAAAATGATCATAATAAAGGAGGCAAGTGATCTAGAAGATCACATGACATAAACACTTCATAAAATCTCATGAGAGATTCAGGTACCTGAATATATGAATGAAGAGATCTCTATGTTATGTCTTTATAAGAAAAATAAGGAGGTTGGAACCGATATAAAATGTTCGTCGACGACATCGATAATAGCGCTAAATATATATGAGGATCTTAAGTCTGAAGAAACAATTCAAGTAGAATTTGGTTTCATATGAAGACATGTAGTTTTGGACATGTAGTTTAAACACTTGAAAGTATAAAGTCAATGGTATGTGCAATCAGTTTTCGATATCTTATATGTCTAGCATGACATGAAAACTTGATATGCATCTAAAGTCTATTATATGGCTTATATGACTTAACAATCCCTGAAGGATTTAAATTGCTTAAAGCATATAGAATTCATGGTCATGAAGTACTACATCCTAAGTGCAATTTGTGCACAAAGGTAACTTGCTATAACTATAAGCATGATAATATGATAGCGAGAATCTCTATGGAGATATTGAAGAGCCATTCCACGACATTAATGAAGACATTACATATCTATCAAGAATGATGATTTCAAGGTGCAATATATTCATTCAAGTTAATATGGCTGATTTGTTCATCAAATCTCTACCAAAGATCTCTGGAAGATGGTGCACAAGATTGGAGTGCAAATGCTTAAGGATGTGAATTGATGCTCTCATCAGGGGGAGTTAATACGCGTTGTACTCTTTTTCCCTTACAAGGTTTTGTCCCACTGAGTTTTCCTTGAAAGGTTTTTAACGAGGCAACCAAAAGGCGTATTGTTAGATATGTGTACTCTTTTTTCTTTTCTAGAATTTTTTTCCCATTGGGTTTTATTTAGTTAAGATTTTAACGAGGCACATTATCTATTGAATAGACATTCAAGGGGGAGTGTTATATAGAATTTTATTTATGGTGAATGTCTATATTTAGAGAGATTCTAGGGTTTATTACTTGGTGGCTAAGTCACCCTCTCCCTATAAATAGAGGATCATATTCTATTGTAATTCATCTCATAATCAATAAAAATTCTCTCTCCCTACTTTTCTCTGCAATACTCTTGTTTTTCTTTTATTGTTCATAACAAAAGTAAACAAATATAGAAGCAGACAATGTTTAGTACAATGCTTGATACAAGTATATTTAAACACGATTGTTCCCATAGATATTGGGCCCGAACTTAGTACTTCGGTCTGCCATAAACAGCCATACATCTTTGCTCAAAAAAATAAAGACATAATTGAGATTATGGGATCAAAGCACTTGGATTTAGGTGTGAATTTTGTGAACGGGTCGTTATTAGGCTTTATGGAATAAAACTTCTATATTTAGAGTAGTACTATAAATCGATATGATCATAGCTAAAAATACTTTAAATACAAAGACATGTAATCAAGAGGTTGTTACCTACATACACTATTTGTTGCTCAAAAAATGTTTTTCAAATTAATTAGCCAAACTCAAATTGCTTCTCGCCAAAAATACTTTTGAGAAACACACTTAAAGAAACAAAATTACTCAAAATAAGCCGATTTTTGCAGCTTGGATAAACAAGCTATTACTCTCAAATGTGTCCCTTTGAGAGGTCTCAACCTATTCCCTTTTTTCTATGGTTTGTTGAATTTTTTATTAATAAAAAATAAACAATCTCTTGGTGATATTTAAAAAAAATGAAGTGGTACAAATACGAAAGCAACAAATATTAAGCTCTGGTGAGCTCTCTATCTTTCTCAGTTAAGATGAAGGGCTAAAATCGGGGCATTTGCATCTATACCCGCTTTTTGTACCATATTTTAACTTGTGCGCGCTTTGTAAAAAAAATTGCAAGTGTACCCGCTTTTTCACATAATTTCAGCACACGGGGCTGAAGTAGCAAAGGCAATCGCGCAAAACTTCAGCATTCTAGTAGCCGGGCCTGAAGTTCAGCTCTTGAGCTGAAGTTTTTGTGTTGTAACTGGAAAACTTCAGCTCTAGAGTTGAAGTTTTTGTGTTGTAACTGGCTGAAGTATTTCACTGTCCTATTTGGATTCAGAGCTGAAGTTTTTCACTGTCCTATTTGGATTCTTTTTCACTATCCCCTGCATCATGTAAATCTGCTTTCTTTTATCGTTTCTTATCTGCTAAGTTTTATTTGGTATCTCCGCTTCTGGTGCATTGTGTTCTTTTGAAGTTTCCCCAGAAATATTCGGACTGATTGTGCCAATTAGAAAATGGTGTCTTTTGCTACTACAATGGCTTTTTATAGACTTGCTGCCATTCCCTAGTCGTTTAATTGTACAGCTCTTCCATTGTCGCTTTTTTTTCCCACAACAGAAATCTCATCAAATTCGTTAACATATACAAGTCCAACGACTTGAGTGAATTAATTGTTATCTGCCCAAATGGAAGAGTCATTTGTCCCATCGTTATTTATAAATGTTAAAACACAACCTTGCTTTCTTCTGGTGAGGTACTGAAGGGGGGAGAAAGGGAGCTGAAGTTTTTTAAAAAGTGGGTACAAGTTAAAAGTTTTAAAAAAACTGGGTATAGCGTAGCATTCCCTTCCCTTTTCTTGCCCCCTCCCCTAAATGATATAAAAAAGATTTTGAAAATCTTCTTTATCATACGATACGAGGCATCCAAATCTGCATTCTCATCCCCTTCTGAACCCGATGAGACATGGGTCTCAATCGAACCAAACTCTCAAACCCGTGCAGAAGTTGAGGATGCAACTTACGATTTAATCGGTTTAACATGGAAGTGTTACCTCATGTAACTCCCCTATAGAACAAAGCAAGACAAAGGCACTGCAATTGCCAAATAGGGTCACATCACCAACAACTTACTACGCCTCAATTCCAAGTTAGTCGGAGTAGTACACCAACAACTTACTACGCCTCAATTCCAAGTTAGTCGGAGTAGTACGTTCTTCATGAATTGACTAAAGTAGTTGTTAATTCCACAATCATCTTCATTTATCCACACCGGGGATCGACTAACAAAATCCAAACAGAGAGCAATAGGATAAAGTCCTAAATACGTCAACATACAATTCATATCCTATAATAACCTTGATATACGTGGTGTATTTGTCTAAACAGATTTATACATAAGGATATAACGCCAAAGTTCAGCCACAACTGGGCTTGTTTATTCACCATTTTCTTTTCAGGTTTCCTTTTTCAATCTAAAGATCTTAGCCCTTACATTTCCTTTAGAGAATTCCAATGTTTTTTAAAAGTAAATTTCAAAATATAACTACCTTTTGGGCTTACACTTGGTTACTAGGAGATTATCTAAGCCCTCAGAAAAAAAAATTCCCAAAGCTAGCATGCTCAAATGTAAGGAGGTCCCAAACAAGATTGAGATTTCGACAACAATAATCACTTGAACCAAATGAGACAGATGTGATGTCTATCAGAAGACAAAAACTCAAAAGCACTCCATTACGAAAATTTAGATCTCTCATTTTCCATTCAAAATTCAATTCCATGAAATGGTAAATGGTCCCATCAACTAAATAAAAACAGTACAGTCAAAACCACGACATATAACAGATAAAATAACTATCAGATTAACTAAAACCTGAAGCCTATCAACTTAAGTGCGAGGTGCAGCAGGGGCTCCTCCAGTGGGGCGTGGAGCTTGACCTGGCTTTGGGAGATCATCCTGGAATAACCAAAGAAAAGACATAAAAACTTCAAGTAAGCAGAAGAATAGCACAGAGTAGCAAAACTCAATAGAAAAACCCCCAGTACTATCTACAAAAATAGAAACCGACAAATAGGTGATACATGGGTCTGTAATTATGCTGATACACTCCAGGTATTAAACACGCTAGAGAAAGAAGATAGCTTCGATTTGTATAGGTGAATAACCAAATGAGGTTTTGAGATCAAATGACAAAATTGGAAAGCATGTACGGTAAACAGGTTTCCTTCAGAGGCTGAAAGTTTAATTCATCGCCGAAATGCACATCTCAACACAAGAAAAATATCTAACAAAGCTATGAAGATAATACAAGGAGGATAACATACCCTTGGGCGCCTGAAACGCTGTGGGGGCTCACGAACTCTCCTATCAGTAACAGAACGAACTCTGACCACCTTAGAGTGAATTGCACATGAAACACAATATTGCATCTTCAAGTACAGCTTAGGAAGAGTGTACGCTGAACAGACAACACACTCATGTTAATTAATGTAAGCAAACTACTGTGCAATACATAGACTTAGATAATTGCTCTAAGAAACCTCACTTTCAAAAGCACAAGCTTCCTGAACATCACGTACAGCAGCTTGCTCAACAATGTTCCTCACAAGAAACCTCTTGATTGCCTTGTCCTGAAAATCAATCAGGTTTAAGAAACATCACAGTAAGTTGCAAGATATTAGCAGAAAGCTGTCTTGTATTTATACTAATATAACAATGATGATTGCAATACAAAGATCAATTCAAAATCAAGGGGTATAGGAGCGCTACAAGAATCCATGTCTACGACCATAAAATTTGTCTAATTATCAACAGCAAATAACGAAGGGATCTTTACACAAATAGTCAGCTGGATTCAGTTTTTACTTTTACTGGCCAGTATAGATGGATTATACACGGTTAAACATATAATATACATGGACTATTTTTAGATCAAACAATTTGGTGAGGGGCTATTTAGGTTAATTCTTCAATAATGAAGCACTGTAGGTATTAAGCTGATGGTATCAGAAAACATGACTGAATCTTAGCCAAAAAGGTTTAAAATTTCATGTACTAAGTCAATACTTGCAACGAACAAGATCCTTTAACGAGCAGATGCTTTCACAATGTTCCTTGTTGACGAAAGAAACCATCACGGGCAGATACTTTCACAATTATCCCTCTTCCATATATACATTCAAGAATTTCAGCTTTAACTAATACAATGCCTCAAGAGTACCTCTTAATCATTATTTAGATCCAAAAAAAAACATATTAAATAACTTCCAAACATAGCATTAACTAGCAAGAATCTAAATTTCACCAGAGGTAAATCCAGGATTTGAACATTTTCCGTTCGGGTTAGAGTTGGGAATTCTACCACAGCTCATTTAATATTATTTATACTTGCTCAAAATTATTTTTTAACACATGCAAAGTCCAAACAAAAGTTATTGGATCCAGTGAATCCACAAGTTACCGTCTACATCTGCCCTGATGTCACATAACGGACAGGCGGACAGGGTACCAGAATTAGAACACATTCGCCACCACAATACATACATCAAAACAATTTATAATTCAAAATACTTTAAATGCATATGAAAAAATCGTTTTGACTCTAGAAATCCGAATACTGCCAGATACATTGGGACGGAGGGAGTAATTAATATTCAGGTAAGCAAACAAACTACAATCACAAAATTTTATTTAAATATAAACATCTATGTTAAAAATACAAATATGTTATCACAAAAAAAAAATAGTACATGATACTCCACATCCATTAACTTAAACTTCTGGATCCATATGTTGAATTCATATTGAAAATATATTCAATAAATAGAAAATTGAAAATGACCTTTGGGCAGCATTTGCCGCAATTAGAGCAGCGAATGAATTTGGTGTGGCCACGTCCATGTTTGTTACGACCTCCGTTTCTTCTCTTGAAAGTCTGCAAGAAAAAATGAGAGATTATACTTCAGTGGATTGCTAAGAGAAATATTAAATTGGAAAAGAAGAAAAGTGAAAAAATTTCTCTACCATTTTCGTTCGTTCGGGAACTCTGCGGCTCTACTATATCAGAAGCTAGGGTTTTTCTGCGAAATGAGAAGTGTAACGAGGGATGTTTTATATAGGGCTTGTTGAAAGCCCAATACAAAAATGGCCCATTCGGAAATGAAGGATGGGGCATTTGCACAAATGGCATTTTTGAGGGGAACTTTACATAACTGTCACAATTTAAAAGAAATATTACAAATTTTTAGCATTAAATTCAATATTACAGATATGGCAGGAAAATATTTATATTTGTAGCACACAGTTCCATTAAAATAGATATATTAACTATTAATCCCTAAACATAAGAAATTTGAATGGAAAGTTAATAATTATTTGTACAAAAATCATGTCTTTTTCTCTCTCTTTATCTATTAGCTTTCCTTCTTTTTCTTCATCTTCTTAGTTTTGTTTTCTACCGAAGCCAATATATTTTTTAATTTGTTCCATTCATTTTATTCTTAGTTATCTTTCTTAAGTTTTTCTCTTACTTCTTTCTTCCTTTCTTAATATAAAACTCTTATTTTGATAATAATATACGTTAATATATACAATATATATATATATATATATATATNAAGATGAGTTAGAAATCACTCAGTTATCTTTCTTAAGTTTCTCTTACTTCTTTCTTCCTTTCTTAATATAAAGCTCTTATTTCGATAATAATATACGTTAATATATACAATACATATATATATAAAAACATACTTTGAATTAACACATATAAAATATACAAAACAAATACATAAAAAATACATCTTCAATTAAGATGACACTTAGACATGTGAAATATACATAAAAATATATATCTTAAATTTATATTAAGATGGTATATAAATATACAAAAATAATATATATATATATATAATGACACTTGACATATAAAATATAATATACATTAAAAATACCGCTTAAAATAAGATAGCACTTCACAAATAAATATACAAAAAATATATACATAAATATACATTTTGAATTAAAGTGATACCTGATATACAGAGTATAAAAGATGTATAAATCAATACATCTTGATTTAGGTGGCATTGAGATATGCAGCAGCTTTTCAAAATATGGAGTGAAGAAGATGAATGCTGTAAAGGGAAAATGAAGATGGACAAAAAAAAAGTATTTTCCGTGATTAGTGAGTGAGTTAACTTATTAGATGTTGAGCTTAATTTTTATAATGTGCCATTAATGGAAAAAAAAGTGCTCTTTATGGAATAAACAATAAATGGTGCTATTTTTATAAATAATAGTTAAAAAAGGATCAAGCATGTAAAAAACTCTTTTTGAGGCCTCTCCGCAAAATTAACCCAAATAAACGTTGGCCCAACCACTTAAACTAAAAGTAGCTGATGGATATATAATATATGTATAATTTATATATACCGCCTATAAAAAATAAATAGTGAATTTACGAGGTTATTTGTTCAAAAATCCCAAAAAGATAAATTTGTTATAAATAGAATTATATTTATGGTGAATGTCCATATTTAGAGAGATTCTAGGGTTTATTACTTGGTGGCTAAGTCAACTTCTCCCTATAAATAGAGGGTTCTATTCCATTGTAATTCATCCCAAATCAATAATAATTCTCTCTCCCTACTTTTCTTTGCAACACTCTTCTTTCTTCTTTTATTGTTTTATAACACGTTATCAGCACGAGACTCTAACCAATTGAGTAGAAGCTTTGGGATTGAGCATAATGGTTGTCAATTATTCCATGAACTTCCTTCATGATTAAATTCTGGATTTAAGGTAAGTATTTTATCGTATTTTTCTCTTTTATTATATACTTTGATTTTAAATACAAGCAAAGACAACAAAGTTTGATTATAACTCTAATGGAGTTTGTAAGAAATTATAACCACCTGAAGTGGTAAAATTTCTATGCCTCGCCATGATCAAATTCATGTATGATTCTGGGCAAAGAATTAAAAATCCGTCTCATTGAATTTGCTCCATTCTCATTCCCTTAAGAGAATGTGATAAGTCTGAAAGAAGACAAAATTATTACTATGAATGTATCAATGGATATGGACGTGGCAATAGACGAAATTATAATCGTCATCATTTGTGGTAATGAGAACAATAAGTATTCTCAAAATAATCTTTCACTCTGTGAAAAATATTTGTCATCGATTTGACATGAGATTTTGTAAAGCACCTATAGATGATTCAACCCTTAAAAGTGCTTTCCTTCTCGCGCGAAAGAAAAAAGATGTTTAGCTTTTTTGTCTGCCTCCTTTACCTATCAAAGATTCTGTTAACATTGCAGATGGCACTCTCTTACCTCTTTCACACTGTGGGTCTATGTCTTCATCCCGGATTCTTCATGATAGATTCCATTTTCCTCCTAAAAATAACTTGTTTTCTGTCAAAAGGTAGTTTAGCCCCTGATTTCACCCTTTTTGATTTCAAGCTACTTGCGCCTATTGTTTATTGGTCCAATGGCCTCACCGCTGGCTGTCCCTCTATTAAAATATTGGGTAAGTGGCGGGGAATTACCCGTATTCAGTACGAGCAGAGTGGAAACTGCTCATACCTTTCGGACTTTGGCATTCGCCTGTCACCCGTAATCTGAAAAGACTGACCTCAATAATGTTCGCAATCATACCTCCATTCATGATGTGAATGTGACAACATCTGATTTATGAATACATATTCATTCTTCAAAGAATATGAACGTGCTAGTGGTAGTGAATATACCGCACTCACCTCTAAAAGGAGGTTTGAGATGATATAAGAAAATAATGTCATTATTATGGCATGAATGGTCATTGATCACGTACCTATCGTACGCCAAAATATTTTTGCATTGTGATTGTTAAAAGACAACGGTAATGCAAGAAACAGATCTTGCATATAATTTTGACCATGACCATAATGGTATAACTTTCTCTTTAAATGAGATATTCACCATATAGGTGTTGATGAATATGTGGTACTACAAAATTAATTGAGAACTCTGCAAGAGCCAATTATACTATTTTGGAGAAACACAATTAATTACCAATAAGGTATTGTGTTGTAGTTAGTCTCAAAGAAACTTATTCAGTTTCCAAAGTATACGCGAAAGCGGTTGATTATATTGAGACTGTAAATAAAGGAAAGATTTAATATCTTCTATTACTACAACTTGTAGCGGGGTAATATGTATGTGAAAGTTTACCCGCTTTATTCTCCAATTTGTACTACATAAACAAAAGAATACCACAATGAAGTGGATATTTATTGATATAAAAACCCATATCATAATAAGCTTGGAGTTCATTCATAATTGCACACATCATGGTGTAAACCTTAAGTTTATCAATACTGATAATTTATCCAGTTGGCATAATTGGTTTAGCCATGTTAATTCAAGTATGATGTGCAAAAATAAAAGAGAATTCACATGGGTAAATATTAAAGAACTAGAAAGTTCTTTACGAATTCTCTTACATTGCTTGTTCTCATTAATTAATAGACCAATTAAAATTGGGATTGAATCCCATGAATGCTGGAAATATCAAAGGTGAATATGGGCCTATTCACCTGCCATGTATACCACATAAGATGCATCTATGAAATGGTTACATGTGCAATTATTATTGACCCGCAACCTGGTGTTTGCGAGGTAACTTGCTCAATAATTTAATATAGAGCATAATTTCCAGATTTTTTATTCAAGATAGTTCTTCTTGATAAGTTGGTTTACATCATAGTTGGTTTAGCAAAATGATTTATTTAGTGCCTCTACTTAATAGCTAAACTATTGCTTATGAGAACAAAGTTATCTATATCAGTTTGATATAGGTTATATACGAAAGTATATTACATTCTCCCCTCACAAGTGGTTTCAGGGTCAGGAACCAAATAATTCTATCTCATTATTATTGATGTGCGGTGTATATTTTGATTAACACCATAACTCACAAAGATGGGTTCTCAAAGTTGAGGAAACAAGTTAGTTTTTCTAACATGAGGGGGAGACAAGATACAACAGTTAAGAAAAAGTTACATAGAATGAATTATCATTTATACATCTAGATCCCCGAATAAAATAATATGAATTTGAAGTTCATAAAAGGATAATTCATGTGCAATTTATTGCAAAGCATGCAGGACATATTTGCTGACCCAAAGAAAATAACTATATTCTCATTGCAAATGCTCCTATTAGAATAAGTCCTAGAAGGACAAAGTCTATAGTACGCTTAAAGCATATAGACAAATCGGTTTCAAATAAACTTCTTGATAAAGAAGATGAGAAAATGATCAAAATAAAGGAGGCAAGTGATCTAGAAGATTACATGACATAACACTTCATAAAATCTCAAGAGAGATTCAGGTACCTGAAAATATGAATGTAGAGATCTCTATGTTATGTCTTTACGAAAAAAATATTGAAGCTGATATAAAATGTTTGTCGACGACATCTATGATAGCGCTAAATATATATATGAGGATCTTAAGTCTGAAGAAACAATTCAAATAGAATTGTTTTCATATGAAAGCCATGTAGTTTTGAACATGTAGTTCAAACACTTGAAAGTATAAGTCAATGGTATGTGCAATCAGTTTTCGATATCTTATATGTCTAGCATGACATGAAAACTTGATATGCATCTAAAGTCTATTATATGGCTTATATAACTTAACAATCCCTGAAGGATTTAAATTGCTTAAAGCATATAGAATTCATGGTCATGAAGTACTACATCCTCAATGCAATTTGTGCACAAATGTATCTTGCTATAACTATATGCAGGATAATATGATAGCAAGAGTTTTCATCTCTATGTAAAGATATTGAACTGACGATTCCAACAAGATCATATGAAGACAATCCATCTCTATCAAGAATGATGATTTCAAGGTGCAATATATTCATTCAAGTTAATATGGCTGATTTGTTTATCAAATATCTATCAAAGATCTTTTGAAGATGGTGCACAAGATTGGAATGCAAATGCTTAAGGATGTGAAGTGATGCTCTCATGAGGGGGAGTTAATACGCGTTGTACTCTTTTTCCCTTTCAAGGTTTTGTCCCACTGGGTTTTCCTTGCAAGGTTTTTAACGAGGCAATCAAAAGGCGTATTATTAG